GCCCGCGGCCAGGATGGTGCAGCCGCAGACCGCTAAGGCGGAGGGCCCGGCCTCGGCCGCTGCTGCCGGCGCCCCGATGGACGACGTGATCGACACGCTGACCTCGCTGCGCCTCACCAACTCCGCGCTGCGCCGCGAGGCCTCCACGCTGCGCGCCGAGAAGGCCAACCTCACCAACATGCTGGAGAGCGTGATGGCTGAGCTGACCCTGCTGCGCACCCGCGCGCGCATCCCCGGGGCGCTGCAGATCACGCCGCCCATCTCGGCCATCACCTCCAACGGGACGCGCCCCATGACCACGCCGCCCACCTCGCTGCCCGAGCCCTTCTCCGGAGACCCGGGCCAGCTGGCGGGCTTCCTGATGCAGATGGACAGGTTCATGATCTTCCAGGCCTCCCGCTTCCCAGGTGAGGCCGAGCGGGTGGCCTTCCTCGTGTCCCGCCTGACCGGGGAGGCTGAGAAGTGGGCCATCCCGCACATGCAGCCAGACAGCCCCTTGCGAAACGACTATCAGGGCTTCCTGGCCGAGTTGCGGAGAACCTACAAGTCCCCGCTGCGGCACGCGCGGCGCGCCCAGATCAGGAAGACTTCCGCCTCCAACCGAGCGGTGCGGGAGCGGCAGATGCTTTGCCGCCAGCTGGCCGCGGCCGGCACTGGGCCCTGCCCTGTGCACCCAGCCTCCAATGGGACCAGTCCAGCTCCGGCTCTGCCCACTCGGGCACGGAACCTTTAGGAGGCCGCCACCACCCCTGTAGCATCTGCAGCCGTCCTGGTAGCATAGGCTCTTTGCTGTGGAGAAGAAATGTCCAAACAACAGCATCACCCTTGCAAAGCCGTCCCCGCCCGTGCCGCCTCTTCGGTAGGCCTTCCTCCCACCCTGCTTGGCGCCCCTTCACCTGCCTTGCTGTATGTCCTGTTGTCACCTGCTGGCTCCGTACCTGCTACTCAGTGCATGCACCCCTCTCCTTGCTGCTTCAGCAACTCCAGAGGTGGCGACTTCGTTGCTCCAGGCCCGCTGTCCCCACAGCACACTCCGGGACCATTTGGACCGCAGCCTTCGAACCCAGCCCAGACACTCCCGCTGCACCTTCTACAAGGCCCTGGGTAGCTCCCCGCCTGGTTGCCCTGCTCCTGCCAGTGGGCTCTGGATGGAAAGAACCAGCCAGGCTGGTGGTTGATGTGTGTACCTGGAGAGGGGGTCTGGCTGTGTCCCTCGGCCGGTGGCCAGCCCTGCCAGGGCCTAGGGTAGCAGGCAGGGCCTTGTCCCTGCCGTCAATGGTCAAGCCTGTTCTAACATCGCCGGGGGCCAGTTTTGCTTTGCAACACCCGGAAGTCCACTGGGAGGACTGACACAGCAGGGAAAGGGAAGATCCACTCTTGCCCACTTCAGCTGCCAGGGTTCTCATTGCCCCAGGAAACAGAGGAGTCGCATTTGTCTGCTGTCGAAGGCCCTTGTGGACCAGGGACGCTGGGCAGGTCCATCAGGTTACCATGAGCAGTGGACTCATGCACACCGGCTGCCAAGAACTGAGGCATGCTGAGGATGGGACACTAGCAGCTCCTTTGCTGCGCGGGGTCTCCGGTCAGGAGCTCACCGGCTGCTAGTGTTTGGCCAAGCCCCTCTGCGATGTCTCCGGCTGACTTGAGACCCACTGCCTTTTCATTCAGGCGCCGTGTTGCCTTCACCTCAGCCTCTCAGCCACCCGCACCATCTTAAGGTCTCCAGCGCTGCCGTGTGGCACACCCTTCCCGTACCTACGCCACTGTGTCTAGCCTTTATCCAAGAACAGATAGTCTTCCTCTTACAGCGAGACGGCTCCTCTGGGAAGTACCTTCAACACCGAAGGCAGAGTGTCTGGGTGGCGTTGGGAGAGGCAGAGCTGTGGACTGCTGGGTCCTGGGGATGTCGCAGGACTGGCCAGGTGTCCTGACTCGGAGGGACTTAGCTCTGCTTCGAGGAGTGTGGCCTTGGCTTCCTTGCAGAGAGAACCAAGAAATCCCATTCTGACCCAGACCTGGCCCAGCCGTTTGGATCGTGGCTCTCCAGCCCTTCACGGTCGCATGAAGCGCACCCACACGACCACTGGGACCTGGGAGGAGACTGGCTTCGTTTGCCCTGGCTGGGTGGTCCTGCCTTGACCACAGCAGGGCTCCCTGTGCCCTGGGATCCTGAGCTTGGGTCCTAGGACCCATCTCCTCCTCCAGAGAGTTTCGATGCCGCTGTGAAAGCAACTGTGATCCTAAAGCAAGCACGGCTGTCCCAGGTCAAGGGACAGTGAGGTTGCTGGGCTCACAGGCTCGGCCACCCACGCTTTGTGAACTCTGTTAGCCTAGTTGCCCTGCCGACCAGCTGCCTGGACACAGGCTTCATGTTCCCCTGGGCTCCGCCCAGGGCCTTCTGCTTGAACTGCAGTGCTCATTAATCGGAGTGGAGGGAAGGGTCCCCAGTGGGGCTGCCATTTGAGGTGGGCTGGTGCTGGTCGCCTCCTCCTGTGCCCAGTGCCCTTCTGTCCCAGTGGTTGTGTTGGCAGACCTTCTACCTGCTAGTGGAGGTGTCGCCAGGTGAAGGGGGACAGTGGCACCTGGAGATGGAGGCCCTGCAGCGGGAGGAGACCTGGAAGGCCTGGCCCACATCTGCCATCTCCTGGCCCGGCCCTGGCTCCCCCAGGCGGGCCTGTGAGTGCTCCTTTGCCCAGGCAGCGTGGTGAGAGTTGGTCCACCACACACCCTCGGGCTGGAGCCACGCGAGCAAGGCTGGCCACCTTTCCACCCACATCCGCTGCTGGCCTTCTGCCTCTGATGGTTGTGCCTGGACCAGGCTGCTGCTGTTCCAGCTGCACTTGGTTTGGTAACTTGCGTGTGTGTTGTTCCCTGGTGCTCCTGTCGGTGGGCACAAGATGTATGCTGTCATATAGGTGCCACCTTCTCGATAGCTCCCCATGCCTCTGGACCTGGAGCACATGAGAGAGGGCTGGGAAACTGCGCTGGAAGTGCCGAGGGGCTGTCACAGCTCCAGGGTGAACGCCGCGGTCCCAGGCAGAGGATGACACCCAAGGCCCACGTAGCCCTGGAGGGAGCCCACGGTGATGGGGGGACTGAGCTGAAGACCGAGCTGGGACGTGTACATATTGGGGGTCATAGTTTCTCCACCTTCTGGAGAACAGGTAGTGACTTTAAAGGGGCAGTGGACTTAATGCATGTGAAGAGTTTCTGTTGCTCTTGGTGTCGTCTTCTTCGGGCCGGTGTTGTGCCTGCTCTCCGGTCCACATGGTACCTGTCTGGTAAGTAAGCTTCGTTGCATTGCAGGGCACTTTTGCCAGAGGCATTTGGTAGTGTGACTCCCTGGCCCAGTGTGTAGCATGACCTGGGGACTAACTCCATGTCCTAAAGCATTTCGGGGACGTCTAGGAGCCAGCGGGGACCCATCTTGACCCCAGGTGAGTAGGTGAGAGGTGTGAAAAGTACCACGTGGTGGAGGCAGGACTGTTCTGACCCACTTGTGCCTGCTGTCTTGGAGCAGAGCGCTGCCCCCACCACCAGGTGAGCCCACCGGAAGTTCCCTGCAGGGAGATGGTGACCGGATGTGGGCGTTGGGGCAGGGCACAGCACACACGGAGGTGAAGGAGGAGCCTTGTGCAGGCCCCTGTCTTGCAGGGTGAGCTGTCAGACCCCGGCCCCTGCTTGGGACATGTCATTGAGGGGCTTTGAGAAGAAGGCCAGGAAAGGATGGATCCACAGGCAAAGCTCCACTGTGTTGGGGGTGGTGGGACAGGGTGTTCCGTGGTCAGGGTGGCCAGGACCTCAAGTCTCAGTGAATTGTCTCTTGGGGACTTTACATTAGATTTGATGGCGATTGGCCCAGGATAGAGGGAGAAAACTGAGCTCCTCACACGCACGCACTAAAACCGCACCAGGTCTCTGCCCTGCAGGTAAAGGCTGTTTCAGGGACTTGGGGAAATCAAGTAGCAGGAAGAGCACCTCCTTCCAGGCCCTGCCCCACGGCTTCTTTGCCTTTTCTGTGGTTAGGATGCGGACACCGTCTAACTCTACGGGATGCTGTCCTCACTGAGCGTATCACAGCCGCCCCTATCAGGACTGAAGCTTGTTCTGCAGTGGCTGTGAACGCTTCCACAAGGCGTAGTAGGGACAGCGGTGCCAAGTATTGATCAGTGCTGTTGCTAAGTTTTCACTCTCCCAATCGATGAGGTTCCCAGGGCATAAGGTTTTCTCCCCACGTCAAGTTGTTTCCCTGGGATGGATTCCCAGAGGGGGCACTAAAGAATATGGAGACCTTCCAGGTTTTTATTATCTAGTGACAAAAGGGTTTCCAGAAAGGTCCATTTGCGTTCCCACCAGCACGGGAGGTGTGCCCAGCTTGCCAGGTTTGGGTGTTACCTCTGGGCTAGATGTTTGCTGATTTGATCACAACAACAAAAGCATTGTGTTTTAGTTCACATTCCCTGGGTTTCTAGCTCAGTTGAGTATCTTTTCGCATTCGGTGGTTGTATTTCCTCTTTTGTGGATTGTCAGTGTCCTTCGCTCTACCTACCAAGGTCTGATAAATTTGTATAAGCTCATTATATATTAAAGATACTAACCTGGTGTGTGTCTCGTTTGCCCGCCGACATTCCCAGGTTTTCGCTTTGTGTGCGTTTGCGCACATCAGTTACTTGTGAGCGGGCTGCCGTTTTGACGCAGTCGCTCAGTCTCTCCCTGCGCGTGTCTACTAGACTGCCGCACAGAGCAGGCGGGTGTGTCCTGTTGGTGGTTCTTAGCCGTGTGCCGGCGCCTGCACAGGCTGCCCGGCATGTAGGAGGTGCCTGGGGGACGTTTGTCAGGTCAGTTTCATCAGTCGATGTGGGGGTCTGGGATCCCCGGCTGGTCAGTGGCCTGGGGGTAAAGGGGCCCCACGGCTGCACCTGGCCCAAGTCACACCTTTCTGTCTCAGGACCCCTTTGTGCCATTAGGGTTGGTGGGGGCCCAAAGAGCCTTTGCATCTGTCAATTGCATCTGTCAATACCTACCATATTGCATCTGTCAATACCTACCATATTGTAAATTAAAACGTAGTTTTAGAGTATAACTTACAGATACAAAATGACATTTAGGACACATGTCAACATAAATGATTGTGTTTTAAGGAAAACTGTTCCCCCCAAAATGAGGAAGAGTGGCATTGTTTCATGTTTTTGCAAATTTCTTTAATGTCTGGCTAATTGAAGACAGCTAGAGTCACATACCTGCTTCTGTACTTGGCCCTTTTTATTTGTGTATCTATCTTTAATACTGGGGATTGAATCCAGGGCCTTTGCACCCCTCCCCCATTTTAAAGACATTTTAAAAACTTAAGTCATTAAGTTGCCCAGGCTGGGCTTGAACTTGGGATCCTTCTGCCTCAGCCTCCCAGAGTGCCAGGATTATAAGTGTGCACCACCATGCCTGGCTTACATTTGATCTTTTGCAAGATCATGTGTCTTAAAGCCTCTGAAAACTTGCACTGTACACTCAGGAGAAGGTGGGAAAACTCTGGTATTTTAGTGTTAGGAAAACAATGTTACATCATGGGCCCCTGCAGGGTCTGTCGTGCTTCGAGACCCACTGCTCTGGGAGGAGCAGAGTGGGGGTCCCTCTGAGCACCCGACCTGTCCCTTGTGTTTTAAACTTGAGGTCCCTCACCCTTTACTAAACAGCACTTTGGGGTTCATTTGGCGTATGGTGTGAGATGCATCGCTGAATGGCCTTTCAAAGATTCAGACATCCTCAGGCCCTGGATCCAGGTCCTTCCCATGTTGGTGTGCTTCTTTGTCACATGGCTGTGTCCCCCATCACGGGCCCGCCTGTCTCCGCCCCTTGCATGCATGTACCCTGGCCAGCACCTCCCTGTGAGAGCAGGCTCGGGTTTTATCATTTGTATTCAGGTCTAGCAGGTTTCTCCACCCCCACAGTTGCTTAGCTTTTCTTGCCAGATGATTCAAACTATTCTAAGGTTTTCCCCAAAATCCCAGTCACAAGTGCAGAGCCTGGAACGGCATGATTGCTTTGGGGGTGATGCGCAGGGTGGAGCCATAGGGCAGCTCTAGGAGGAGAGGAGGGTGGCCTTACCCCAGCAGCCGGCCGAAGGCCCTGCCCTGAAACGTCCACTGTGTGGGTTCTGTGACAGGGCCCCCAGGGAAGGGTAAAAACCCATCTCCCCGCAGGCCAGCCTGGCGTGGGTCCTGTCTCCTGGCGCACAGAGCAGAGGGTGCACAGACCCTGCTGGCTGTCGCCACACAGCTGGTCCCAAAGAGATTCCAGGGGCCCCGGCTGAGGGTGGAGCCCAGAGCCACAGGCCCCGCGCCCTCCCACTGTGCAGCTAGGGACCTGGGGACCTGGGGACTGGGATGCGGTGCCTCTGGGCCTCCGTCCTCAGAGACTGCATGACTGGCTTCTCCTTTGGCTCACACAGACCTGGCCTTAGTCCTTGTGCCCCATCCCGGGGCCCTGTGGACTCCCTTGGGAATTCCGTCTTCACCCATGCCACCAGGCCCGAATCCGGGGCTCTCACTTTCCTGGTCTCCATCCCATAGCTACCCATCACCGAGGTCACCAGGCTGGCTCTCTGGCCCCACCCTCCAGGCCAGCCTTGCTGCCGCCTCCTGGAACTGCTAAGATGCGGATCCAACACACTCCTCGTAGCAGCCTCTCTGGGTGGCTGGCTGGCTGACGCATACCTAGTAAAAGTTGTCGCCTGCCCTTCTGTACCCCTGGGGAGAAGTGGGCTTTGAGGACCCTGGTAGAGGGTGAAGGCACCTGTGAGGAAGGGACAGGGTGTTTAGTCCCTTACCGGCTGCCTGTTTGGCCAGTGGACTCACCGTCGAACCTCTTCTGAGCTGCTGCCCCTGGCACATGGCCAGGTGAGGAAAGAGTCATGAGAGACTTCCAGGAGCTCCTGCCACTGGCCAAACATTCTTTAGAAATAAACAAGGTTTGATCCTAAACACCAGCAGGCTGTTCTAAAGATAAAAATGACACCACCACTGTGGAGTCTGGCCACGCTTCCAGAAGGGACCTCCTACCTAGCGGGAGGGGGTCTAGCAGATTCCACTCAGACAGGGGCTTGGAGAAGTAAAATTATATAATTGTAATTTATACTCCCAACAGGCTGAGATTCCCCAGTAAGTCAGTTACACATTACTCACCGAGATGGAAAGTAAAAAGCAAAACAAAGCTACAAGCTATGAGGGTAAGTGTGGAAACACCGGGATCCTGGGCTGCAGGAGCTCTAGGGCCAGAAAAACAGTGGGTCCAACCCGCCTGCCTGAGTTTCCTGAAAAAAAAAAACAAAACAACAAAAAAAAAAACAGCCCCAGGGACGCTGCACCCTGGCACCTGCCGGATCTCAGGAGTGTTCAGGAAACCCAAGCTGCCAGGTGTTGTGGGGACAGGACCAGGCTTTGTCTCCTGGCAACTCCTGGCTAAAGAGGGACGAGAAAGCCACACATCAGCCTCAAACTTTGATTGTTACCCTAAGAGGGAAAAGTCACTAGTAAAAGCTGTATTTAGCCTTAAAATCAATAATGTCTTAGACTCTAAGAAATAGCTTTTGCAGTTTGGGTATATACTGAATGTAAAATTTTATATCCTTTGTAAAACTCATTTCATAGGATACACATTTTACTATGTTGTTAAACATATTAAAAAGATGTTTAGCTGGGCGCGAGGCTCATGCCTGTAATTCTAGCACTCAGGAGGCTGAGGTAGGAGAGTCGCCCTGAGTTTGAGGCCCACCTGGGCTACATAGAGAGTTCAAGGCCAGCCTAAACTCAGCCTAAACTGCATAGCGAGACCCTGTCTAAAAAAGATGCTTAATGATTTCACAATACTTTGTTACATGGAAGTACATGACTTCCGTTGTTCCTCCCATCGTTCTTGCCTCTTTCTGCAGCAGTTCTGGAAGTCCTCTTTCGTGAGTGTCTTTACAGGATGTGAAAAAAACTATGATGAACGCTGCTGCTGAGCACCGTCCCACGGAAAGGTAGGCTCGTGGACCCTGGATGCTGTGTCCTCATGTACCTTACTCCTTGGATCTGGCTACAGAGGACTTTAGGCTCTCACCCAAAATTGAAATGACCACGAAAGGTAAACTTTTTGAATGGATTCAGGACATCGAGGCAGCCATGACAGTGCAACTAAAAACACTCACAAAAGAGGACTACAGAACTGCTTCAGAAAGTAGCCTGGGGCTGGGGATATAGCTCAGCAGCACAAGCACCTGCCTGGAAATCTGAGGTCCTGAGTTCGATTCCCGGTACAAAAAAAAACCAGCAAGTGGCCTGGACAATGGGATGAGAGTGTCCAGAGTGTTGGGGGGGAGTTTTGAGGGGCACAGATGGCGCTGTGTCTTTTACTGTAATAATTGTTTTATTTACAGCCACACCATGTTTTTGGATCACACCATGAGTAGAAATGTTTTCTAAAAGAGTTAAGATGTGAATTATATACCAAAAATGCTCAGAACGGAAGTGTATACTTCAGTGAATTGTGACAAACATAACTACCACCCAAATCAAGATACTCATTTCCATTGTCCGCAAGTCCCCTGTGTCTTCTGCCTGTCACTTCCTCCCGCCCAACCAGGTGGCCAGCACTTGGTTCCAGAATGACACCCAGATGGGCCCACAGCACCCAGGCTGTGCTGTCTGAGCCTCCTTTGCTCCATGTAATATTTCTGAGATCCACCCACGCTGCTGGCCAAGTGTATTAGTTCATCCCTTGCTCCTGCCCGTGAAGAAGCCGCTCCGAGGATGTGCCGTGTTGGTTTAGCCGCCTGTGTGTGCACACTTGTCTGTGGACAGTTCCAGTCTGACCAGTGGTGAATCCCATCACTCGCTATGAACACGCCTGCTGGTATCACCTCGAGGGTGTGATATCACGTTTGCGTGTCCCCTCCGCAAACAGCTTGGGTGACCTCGCTGTATCAGAGGCAAGGCAGGGTCTAACTCTCAGAGACCGCCAGACTGGCTCTGAAGTGCCGCACCCTCGCGTCCCTGTCACCTACCTATCTCAATGGTTTCACTTTGCATTCCTCTCATTTCTCATGATGCTGAGCGTGCTTTTGCCAGCCGCCGATGTATCTTCTTCCCAATATTTTATGAAAAGCTAAAACATACATAAAAGCTGGAGAAGACCATAAACAATGCTGCAGGCAAATCCTACCATGAGAATTTTGCTTTATCTCATGCCCACCCACCCTCTCCTCCTCCTTAAAACACCATGCTTTTCCTGCACAGTAAAGAAAGGGAATGACGGCGGGCAGCATGCAAGGCTATGAGACACTCCAGCACAGGTTCCAGAGTGCAGGCCAGCGCTGGTTCACACTTGCTTTCTGTCCAGGAGGGGCAGGTGCCGGAGATTCACACAGGGCAGAATCCATCAAACATAAGTTCATCCCTCACCCTGAAATCTCCCCAGGGCTCCTTTCCACTCCCAAAACTTATGCCAGTTCCCAGGACACAAGGGTATTCAATTTCTTCTTACAAAGTAAAGTCTTAATTTTCACCGGTAGGTCAGTGATTCATCTCAGAATGAATTTTTGTGCCTGGTGTGTGGGCTTGAAGCTTGCC